GAGGGCTTAAAATCAAAAATTTTGGGAGTTTAGCGCTTCAAACGCACGAAATTCAATCCCAAAACGACAGCAAAACGTGGAGAATTTTCGAAATTTGAAGAATGCAAATCCAAGCACGAAGCTGAATTTCAGCGGAAGGGCTTAAAGTCCAAAAGTTTTGGGATCTTAGCGCTTGACTTCAAACGCACGAGACCCAACCCGCAAACGATGGCAAAACGTGGAAAATTTTCGAAATTTGACAACGCATATCGCTCACATCTTTGCCTTGTTTATTTTCTTATTTTGGGGAGGAGGAGGATCCTAGTGGGAGGGATGTTATCGGACGCTCCAAGCTAGTAAATTATACGACTATTTTCGCTGCCCTACACGCACGCTTAGCCTCCCGACTCAACCTTGTAACCCATTTTGTGATATAATAAACGAAAACATGAACGACCTGATAACGGTTTTTTCACGAATATGAAATTAAAAGCACTATAACTTATCTTGTTGTAGTTCTAGCTGTTGTTAATAATCGGCGTAAATTGTTCGACGTGCGATCAATTTGAAAACAGTAACAGAAATCCTCGTCGGACGATGACTAGCTTGAATGGTAAACCCAAACAACTACGAAAACCTACTCAACATTTCAAAACAATCTCCTCATATGTATTTTCCTAGACTTCGTTCAATCAGTGCTCTATTGGAAAACCTTCTGTTTTTCCGTCATATCTTATCCTCTATATACCCTCGCTACTTCTAGCCCCCCGACACACCTCATCCTCCTTCTGGTCTCCCGTCACACCTCATCCTCCTTCTGGTCTCCCATGACACCTCATTCCCCCTCCTTCTTCTGGTCTCCCGTCACACATCATCCTCTTTCTGGTCTCCCGTCACGCCTCATCCTCCTTCTGGTCTCCCATGACACCTCAATCCTCGCCTTCTTCTGGTCTCCCGTCACACCTCATCCATCCACGTCCACTCCCACCGAAAGTCGTAAAAAAGCCTCCTCATCCACGACCTTTCGTCGCCCCTTCTGCCATTTTCTCAAACTCGGTCTGATCGATGTTGGCGAGGATGGTGAGTAAGAGTACTCGAATCCGCGGCAGATTTTTTTCTGCTTGATCTTGGTCGAAGGCCCACTCGCTGGGGCTACTAGCCTCCGAGCCTCGCAAGAAGCATCCCTGGAGGAGCGCAGATAGAATCTGAAAGCAATTTTTATGTTTATCGTTCTTCATCTCCACCACCAAGTTGCAGTTTTTGAGCTTTTCGTCCGTACCACCAGCTTCTCCGATTAAGACATCTCGCGCCACCCCCGCACTTTTTTGCATGTCGGTTACACCATCGCCAGATTCTAGCCCGCGGCCCTTCAGCATTTGCTAAAACAAGTTCCAGAAAGGAACTGAAGGAGGGATGGGAAAGAGAAATTGTCCTCCATTTTGATCCGGACTTCCGGAGGAAGCACTCCCACTCGCTATGGCGTCTTCGATCGTGCTGGCATCCACGCGCTGTATGATGGCTAGCAAATCCTCCGTCGTCTTGCGACGCCAGCCGTCTAGCGATACACGCTCGGATCTGTTTTCTACAGCGCGTTTAACCTCAGACTGGTCAATATCGGCAAGCTGGGTGAGTAAAAGCAATTGAATTTCGACAACCAGCCTGTCAGAATCGCTTGTCTCGTGATTGTGGAAGGCGAGTTCCTCGAGTCGCGCATTTAGCTCTGCAGACTTATCTGTTGCGTCAATGAGAGCCTCCAATTCCTCCTTTCTTTTCGGATCGTGACCGTGAAGCTCTGTTTCCTCATCAATCAAGGCCTTTCGGACTTGCTTCGCAATTTGTTTCAGCGGGTTTAGGTCCATGGGCTCCTTAAATACGCCATCGTCGACGAGCTGACCCAAAAAGGCTTCCCTGTTCACTCCTGGGCCACCGCGTTTATTCATTGTGTTGCCCAGTCTCTTGACCAGCCCTGCATTCACCTTACGTACAGTGGCTCTAAGAACATTTTTCTGCGCCTCCCCCGAAAGAGGCTGCTGCAGGTCTTGGGGCGTTTTTTCCTCTAGACGACGATCCGCGCCCCTCGTGTTGAGCGACGGCAACGCCTGCGCATCGACACCTCCTCCATTCAGCGCGGCCGATTTAGCAGGAGACGAAGGCTTGGTGGTGAGACTCCCATGGTCTCCCGCTAACGGCTTCGAATCGGTAGCCTCCAGCGGACCGAGCAAGTTCCTGCCGTCCCCGTTCCTCAGGCCAAAATTATCAAACATCTTCAGCCCTTTTGGTTTTCCTCCCGCATGCGAAAGGGCAAGCGAAGCTGCCGCTTTTCTCATTATCTTTCTCAGCGCATTGGCATTCATGTCGATGGCCTCTGCTACTTGAGACTCTTTGTCCTCGGGCGGCGGTGTCACTACTTGCGTAAAAGCCGTTGCGCCATCCATGTCCTGACTTTCTACGTCTCCATCCCAATCGATGACAGCCTGTTTCTCCTGTTCGTGGCTGATTCCCTGAGCCAGGAGAAGATGCGTCGAGAGCGAAAATGTGCTCAGGCGCAACGTGCGCCGCGACACTTCTAGCACTCCGTTCACCACGATCACCATTTTGACTGGAACTCAGTGTGAAGGTCCAATGTGACGTTTTCGACGTCGAAGAATGTGGATCTTGCAATAGTTCCTGAACTTCGACCACGTACTGGAGGACGACTTGACGTCGAAGCAAGCGGCTACAAGCAGGAGATTTGCAGGACCACTCACAGTCACAGCTCATAGATTGATCAACATATTGGGAAAGTTGTTGCAATCAGGTGGTCCGTCTTCGTATTTATTTTATTATAAACTTAGCAGACTGCAGACAGTTGTCGTCTAAGACTAACAGGATTAACGATGATGATGATCCTCGATTCTCTCACTTCGACTCACCGCACCGAAGTTCTCACTTCGCCACCGAATTGTACCGGCTTTATGAACAAAGCGTCTTCGACCAGGCACCAATTGATACTGGGCCAGACTTTTAGTATTCGATTCTACATCTGAAAGTGTAGTCTTTGTATCCTTGCTTGTGTTTGCTACACCTACGCAACGTCCTCCATTCAAGTTGTAACAAGTATAGGATTTACTTGTCCGCCGATAAGCGATAATAACAAAATAATTTTTTTTACTACACAGAGGTTCTTTTCAACCGCCTATCAAAAAGTGTACTTGTGCGTTCTGTCCTCCTTGTTGTCATTGGCTTTCCCTCCAAAAGTACCTAGTACAACTTTGGCTTTACCCCTTCTAGTTAGTGCCAAGTTGTACTTGTACTAGGAGTACCTCGTTGCCCCTAGAACTTACTACCTAATGCAACTACAATAAACACTAGACGGTTTTCAATCCCATCAAAATGCGTATGCGTTCGATAAGAACAAAGGAGATAATGGTATGGGGCCCAAGCCGCGAATAGGACGCCATCCACCCTCGAAGAAACCCGCAAGGACCCGACGTCTGCCAGAGTCTTACCGCACATTTTAAAGCCCTACCGCGTCGCAACATGTTCATAATAAGGGTCGATAATCTTGTAAAATCATTGACAATGATAATATCCTTGGTACGATAATGATAATATCCTTGGACGAGGATACTTGCAATTTAGTACAATGAATCTCGCACCAAGTTCAGTGCAGACTGCCATAGGGGCGCAATATCGGGTCCCTGAGACGAGTCATATCCTTGGCGGATACTTCTTTTTCCCCATTGAAAAAGAGCCCGCCAAGGATACAACTAATGCTGACTTTTTTTACCCATTGAAAGAGAGCTCGCCAAGGTGATCATGCTGTGGATGGTCGCTTGGGTGCCTTAAGTGTTGGAAGGTACTCAATTTCCCTTCTGGGTCGTTCATCACCATTGTCTTGATGATATCCACAGGATTGCTACACGTCGTCGCTACCACACTTGTGCTCCTTAGAAGAAAACGAGAACTTGTGATTTCTATTTCTCGGTAGAAGATCGCTAGTATGGTCAAACTGGAAGTCATCAAACGTGAGGAGGGATAAACAGTGTACTTCAACATGAACATGAAAAGAAACCTGTCATTTTCTGTGTCAAACTTGGCAATCCACTCATGACGCTAATTTTTTAGCGTCCTCCGTCTTGTGTTGAAGATTGTCTGAACCTCGAATAACAGAAAGACTCCTGATAGTGCAACATCAAGTGCTAAAAATAACTACTCACTTATTAGGGCTTCGTCATGTGCTAAGTCATGGGCTCGTCCTCGAGGGACGAATCTAGGATTTATGAGGGAAAAAGAACCGGTTGTTTGTCTCTATGTGCTTTACGCAAAGTAGACATAAAATGAGAGAAGCCGCGAAATGCGTCGTCCGATCTTCCTTCCTCATTGCTAGTTTTTGGACCAACAAGTCGTTCTTCACGACATCGTACGTGCCAATCTGCGAGCTCGTGAGAATAGCTGCCCTAATCGTGGTCGCGGTCACACCCCGCCAAAGTCCCTTGATGCCCTTCTCCTTGCCGAGAAATGAAAAAGAATGGCATGTCGGCTTGATTTCTAGTACATACTTCTTCAAGAAGACATCAGCAGCAGTTCTACTTCTTCAAGAGTAGCATCCACTTATACTCATGGTGCTGGCTTTTTAGTAAACTACACATACTTAGTTTCACTGCTACGTACACTGAGTTGTTGCCGTAGTATCTCATAAAACGCACGCGGCAGGCTCCCATTGTACGGTAGCGGGTCAGTGGGTTTTTATAAAGGTTTCCGGTTGAACGTTGACCTATCTATCTCGCGGCATATGAGTCCTCTTCCATTCCATTCAAGTGCGTCCCTAATGGGCATATACCAGCCACGCGCAGGACGAGTCGATGTGTCATTGAAATATTCATAAGGACATACACTTAGCATATGGCCTTTCTTAGATAAACGTAAGTCAGGTCATCTGAAAGTATTTCTAAGACACGGATAGCATATGCTCTACTTTACATAGGTCAAGGTCAACCCCTTAATCTTTGTGATTGGAAGCGAATTTTGACCAAGTCCACAGGCGTGAACATCGCGGAACCGACAGCCCCTGACATAAAAGCTGACCCATATTTAACAACAGGCGACGCGCTCGCTGTCGTTTTGGAAGATGATGAGCCACCTGTTGAGAAGCGAAATTTTTACTTTTCATCTGTTCCAAAAGTCATGAAGGAAGAATTTGTACGAGAGAAAATTGACCGGTTCTTTTCGTCTGTCCTATGTATAAGGTAGATGTAGATATGGAACTGCAAAGACGGAGAAGTATCTTCAGTTGTAAGTATTTTATCAACCAGTGTGATAATGATATTTGAGAAGATGTGAGGCAGATTACTATTGGTTCCGGTCTGCAGAAGAAAAGAGTAAAGAAATTCCAACTTTTGCTTTGCAACTGTTCTAGCTCCAAAGTAGGTCGATAATATGGAGAAACAATGACGAAAGGCGAAAACCAAAGCAAAAGCCAAAGCGGAAAAGGACGACAAATACGACAAGAGCGAGACGCAAAGTCCTAGAGCACGCCGCCTAGCTACGAAACCGGAAGCACGACACAAAGACGAAAGCAGCAAGACACAGCGCAGGCAAGAGCAAGAAAAGCGCAAAAAAGACCGAGAAACGGCAGCAAACTCCAGAGCCAATGCCAAGCAGCCGCTCTCCCTGGACTCCAAAGAGACGAAAACGGAGACGACTCGCCGGCCCAGTGTCCTAACTCGCCGCAGCTGTTCGCTGCGCGGGCGCTTCTTCTTGGGTCAGCCGTTGGGTGGCCCTCTCGCTGTCTCGCTTGCGTTCTACTGCGGCGCAGTTGCGCGCCCCTGGAGAATGCCCGGCCCTCTCCTGTCCATGCTTCAGGTCTTTCATGCTTGCCGCCTCTGCTTTGATTGAAGCCATCAGATCAGTACCCGACCCAGCAGGCACATCCTTCGTCCCCTTTGCGCTCAGTCCGGTCGCCGGATTGGATTGCGGCACGGCTTAGCCATGCATCACCATCGCAGTCGTCAGATTTTGCCGCCGCATCACGTAGCGCCCGACGTCTCGAGGAGACAACAGACGGAAGCCGCGAAGGCTCGCCACTTTCTAAAATTTTGCGAGTGATGGCAACACGCTGAAGCATGCAGTTCACGAAGAACCGACCGGCGCGCGCTTGATGTTGGCGGTGTGATTCGGATCAGGCTCCACCCTGTGTGCGACGACTTCAGATCTAACCGCCTCCAAATGAAGGCGCGCGCCCTTTGTTTTTCTTCCCTGCACCATCTTGCAGCTGCACCGGCCACGATTGGACTTCCTTGGAGAGCGTGGGAGCCGTTTCCGGCCAAATTACTCCGCAAAAATGTCGCGCAGATCTAACCGCCTCCAAATGGAGGCGCGCGCCCTTTGTTTTTCTTCCCTGCACCATCTTGCAGCTGCACCGGCCACGATTGGACTTCCTTGGAGAGCGTGGGAGCCGTTTCCGGCCAAATTACTCCGCAAAAATGTCGCGCAGATCTAACCGCCTCCAAATGGAGGCGCGCGCCCTTTGTTTTTCTTCCCTGCACCATCTTGCAGCTGCACCGGCCACGATTGGACTTCCTTGGAGAGCGTGGGAGCCGTTTCCGGCCAAATTACTCCGCAAAAATGTTGCGAAATGTTTCTGAGCGTCCAAGCCTCCTAGACGGGAGAGTAGTTTGCACCACAAAAAAAGCAACGGAGGTTATGGACAGAAAAAGCACTTGGCTAGTACCTTGGCCTCCGCTTGCGTGTGTTGCTGTCACCGCTAAGGAAATTGTGTCACGAATAGGTTCGTAGAGGCCCATGCGAACACTGCACCATTAGAAGAGGAGGTAGTTTTTCACATGCATCAGAAGGGCTAGCTATTCTGTTCAATTATATCAAAACGTCCTCTTCAGTTTGTCTTGCTATCCTCTAGCAAGATATATCATGTCACGGAGCCGCTTCTATAGAATCTCAGATCCGATATTGAGCCCGACAGTCCGCCCGTATTTGTATGCCGCGCGTTCATGTCCTGTAAACCTAAAGCACTCGATAGAACACTCAGGGCCGATACATCTAGGCTTACAAACTAGCAGATAGATTCATATCTTTGTTTTTCTTCTTAACTGTATGTGCTCTCTCTCAGGACAGTCGCCGAAACACCTTTGAGCAAGCCAGCGACACCCTCTTCCACGAACACTGTCCGAAAAGTACGAAAAAAGTTTCCATACTTTTCCCCTCCATACTGATGATTCCGAATTTTCACCACGTCGCACGGATTCGTCACAAATCCCGAGACTGCGCAGCCGGCACCACCGGAAACGAAACCCAATGCTACCTGCACCCTTCACATGAACATGCGTTTTAGTATGTATGAGACTTTTTAGTCTAAGCATAAGAAGATTTGTTACGAAATGCAAATTCTTATAAGTTGATAGATAAAAAACATAACAAAAAAATAATCTACAATATTAATCGATATTATTAATCTCCGCCGCCATAAAACTCCCCACCTAACCAACCGGAGACTAGTCACCTCCTGCCGCGAAGCTATTGCCCATAGCCTCCTGCCCTTTCCCCTCACTCCTAAGCCCGATAGCCTCCGGCCGTTTTCTTGTTGGAGTTCACGTTGCGGCCCCGTGGCAGACTACCAGAAAAGAAGCCAGAAAAATGCCCGACGGGGGTAGGGGCGCAAGCTGGCGAGAGAAGTCCAAAGAGAAACAGCCGAAGAAAGACCTTCGACCAAAGACACCCGGACCCCCGACCTATGGACCAATGGCGATCTTTGGACCGAAGGCGACCTTCAGACTGAGTGCAATCTTTGGTCCGATCTTTGGACCAAAGGCGATCGTTGGACCTACCAGAGACGATCTTGGGACCAAAGGCGATCATGGGGCCAAAGACGATCGCTGGACCAGCGGCGATCTCTGGACCAAAGGCGACCTTTGGACCAGAGACGACCCCTGGACCCAAGACGACCCCTGGACCCAAGACGACCAATGGACCCAAGACAACCTTTGCTATTGCTGGACCCAAGACGACCTTTGGACCAAAGGCGACCTTTGGACCACCGGCCCGGCGACCTTTGGACCACAGGCGACCTTAACCTTTGGACCACATCCACCGGCGACCTTTGGACCACGGGCGACCTTTGGACCACACCAGACGACCGCTGGACCAAAGTAAGGCGACCTTTGGACCAAAGTGCGGCGGCCTTTGGACCAAAGTAAGACGACCTTTGGACCAAAGTAAGGCGACCCCTGGACCAAAGTGCGGCGACCTCTGGACCAAAGTAAGGCGACCTCTGGACCAAAGTGAGGCGACCTCTGGACCAAAATAAGGCGACCTTTGGACCAAAGTCAGACGATCTTTGGACCGAAGGCGATCCTTGGACCAGAGACGATCTTTGGACCAAAGACGACCTGTGGGCCAAAGACGATCTGTGGACCAGAGGCGTTTTTTTGGACCAGACGCGACCTGTGGACCAAGGGCGACCTTTGGACCAGAGACGACCTTTGGACCAAAGACGACCTTTGGACCACGGCAGACCTCTGGACCAAAGCCGACCTTTGGACCAAAGACGACCCTCAGACCAGAGGCAACCTCTGGACCACAGACGACCTGCAGACCACAGGCGACCTTTTATGGCGACCTCTGGACCAAAGTAAGCCGACCGCTGGACCAATTAACGCGACCGCTGGACCAAAATAAGGCGACCTTTGGACCAAAGTAAGACGACCTTTGGACCACAGGCGACCCTTGGACCACAGGCGACCTTTGGACGACCAGAGACGACCCGTGGACCAAAGACCTCCGACAAGACAAGAGACCCGCGACGGCAGACATCTGACGAACGACCTCAGCCAGAAAAACTGCCGCCCGACCTATGGCGAGAAGCCCTACCTCGACGAGGATAGCGAAGACCTTCGACGAAGGACGTCAGTCCGACGAACGCGGTCAGTCTGGCGAAAAACGTCAGTCCGACGAAGGGGCAGAATCAATCTCACGAAGGAAAGACATCCGCAGCCCGAAGAAAGGCCCCGCGCAGCCTGTTCCGCTTCCGACGCAAGGCAGACGCCTGGCGAAGCAGTGCGCCGGTCTGGCGAGGGGCGTCACCTGGCTGGTCAGTGCATCAGCCTGACGAACCAACGGCGCCATGCTGAAGCAAGCCATCAACCTGACCAAAGGCGTGAGTCTTGGCCCAGCGAGGAATGTCGGCCAGGCGAAGCGCTTCAGTCTGACGAAAGGCGTCAGCCTGACGAGAGACGTCGCCTGACCCTGACGAAGGGCCTCAGCCTGGCCCACGACGTCCGCCGAAGGGCGCCGGCCTGTCGTCTGACGAAGGCCGCCAGCCTGGCGCAGCGCGTGGGCCTCAGTCTGATGGAAGGCCTCGGTCTCCATCCTGGCGAAAGACGTCAGCCAGTCAAGAGGCTTCAGCCACAACCCGAAGCGCGACGCCCCACGCCCCCGCGAAGTGCGCCCGTCTGTTTCTGACGAGAGACATCCGACGAAACAAAGAAGCCTCGCCAGGTGTAAGCGCGTAGAGAGACCCGAGCAGCGCGGCCCTGCGTTGCTTATGCTTTGTCTTGTTTGGCCCGCTAAAGCCGCCGCCCGTCCTTGCCTGGCGCCACCGCGAGGCGTTTGCGTGCGTTGGGGCTTGCGGATTCTTGCGCGTGTCTGGTGGCCCTCTTCTGGTTTTTTCGTTGGACTGCCGTGGGGGTCTTGCAAATTCTTAAGAATTTGCAGGACCCTCCCGGCAATCTCATAAAAAAACCGAAGGCAGCGCAATGCCCTGCACGTGAGTCGACGCATCGATCTGAGTCGGCCACCGTCGGCGCCCGGCTCTTGTCGTAGTTAATTCGTAGGGTGCAACAGCTCACCCGCGGGCTGTCTCTACTCTAGCGGCTGTAGCCCGTGGCAGGCTGCAGTAAAGTGCTTAACTAACTTGAAGCCGGGCGAAGCTTGTGGAGGCTAGTGTATAGAAGATACGAATCAACACAGATAAAACTGCTAATACGAAATACATCAAATGTAGACAACCTGAATCTTCGACGCAGAAACAGTTTCATCGCACATGGCAATCAACAAGAAAGTCCTAGTTATTACTATGAATTCAACAAGAAACTCCTCCGACTCCTGGTTGTACTTACTTCTACATGTCTGTCCAAATAAGTTGTTTCCTCATAATCGGGGAGTACCTAGATGAAGAACTTTTTCCGGAAGTACTAGAAGAAGACGATGACGACTTGGCTGCACCATCTCCCACATTTTTACCTTGTTCTTCTCCCATAGTTAGTGCTTCTAGTACTGGATCAAGCTTCTCGATGCCAGTTGATGTCAGGCTTCACCAATTGCACACGAATCGGACCAGGCAAGCGATGACGATGCTGATGTTCTTGATGATGTAAGCAGTACCCGACTAGGATTGATAGCTGTGTTTTACGATTCCGAGGATTGAGAGAAAAATAACAGAAACAATCATCAAACGTTCTGAATGAAGACTTGTTACGTGACAAATCAAAATAGAAGCCCTGGCCAAAAATGAGTTATCAGAACTTCACAAGAACAAATTGAACTTCTTTTACGAAGTCTAAGTTTTTTGAAAGAGGTGGATCGTGGCATCCTCGATGCGAACCTTCCCACAGTGGTGGAGAGTGGTTTCAACTCTTACCACTCCGTACTTTCCGCAACACGAAGACTAAGCACCGCTCGGAGCAACATGTCCTCTCCCTCTCTCGGAGTCTCATTATAAAGTTGGCAACTGAAACCGATTTCAGTCCTTTTTAGGCATCTACTTGCGTGTCGTACGAGGCGTCTTTTCTTGAACTAGGAGCAGCACAGGTGTCCTGCACAAACAAGACAGCGCTTGTTGCTTGAACTTCACATCAGGTGAGTGTGTTTCAGGGAGTTCCTTTGCTTTGCGACGTTGGTGGATTGGTTATCGTTCTCATTGAAAATGCAGTGTAACAAGAAGGGGTATCAACAACAATGCGTGGTTGAGTCCCTAAAGGAGGTTGTAGACGCTTTTTAGACTTACACTTAGAGGTCTTTTTTGGATCTATTATGGACCACTCTGCTCTAAGAAAACTATGGGCGCGCGCATTCGTGTCGTGCTATGAAGAAGATGGGAGCATTTTTATGTCATGATAGTATGATTCCACTCATCCCGTACGTTTTCCTCATCTACGGTTATGATAATGTCATAAAAGTGCTCTTTTCCCTCCGGAACCAACGAAAGGACGCCTGGTACAGCTTGCGCTTTGCAAAAAGCCACGTGCGCACCGAAAAGTCCTTCTTCTGCTAACATCCTACTTGGATTCAATTCATCTTCAAGAACCTTTCGTCTCGGCCACCACCAGATATCGGATGTAAAAGCGAGGAGAAGGCTTCATCTGTCTCATCGAAGATGCTTATTTCACTTTCATCGAAGACGCTTGTAGCTTCATCGATTCTTGTTTCAAACTGCTTCTGGCGTCAGCTTCTTTCTCTGCGTACTCGAAGATATCCCAGAATGCTGCAAGGTGCGCGTCAAGTCGTATCGCCAGCAGAGCCCACTTTCCATTGAGCGACGCGTCTGCTCCTCCCAGTCCCCGCACAGAGGTAGTTGTAATGGAATCTTTCTCATATAATTACGGCCACTACGTGCCTCTTTGAGTTTGGTGCTAGCCACCACCCCTGATCCCTCCTCTCTCTCTCTCGTTCCGGTTCGTTACTTCTTCAGGGTCTATTGGAATCTGAAGACTAAACAAATAGTCGGGCGACTAGACTGTGGCCTACTGATTTCCTTCGGAATAAAGGGATCTTCGACGAGGCGACGCAGAAGCACCCCTACCAGGCATAAGCGGAGTAAAGCCAGGTCCAGATTCATCGTCAGAAGAAGAAGAAGATTCATCGTCCGAAGACTCGATAGGAGGTGGGCTTGTGTCCCACCTCAATGGAGTGACGGGCAACTGACTCAGACCACTGCTGTTTTAAGCACAAGCAACAGTACTCTCGTCGCCCACCACCTGCAGTAAGCGAATACCCTTCTGAAGTGCTAAACCTCTATTCGTATCTTGCCTGAGTGCCTCTTGGTCTCTGCGTTTTCCGTTCCAACGATTGTCTACCTGTACCACCGCCTCAGCTTCTATTTTCTTCCAGTAGTCCAGTGATACAAAGTGGGGGTGCTCTCTCACCCCTTTCCCCATGCCGTCGTCGCCAAGAAAAAACCCGCTTCGCAAGACCCTCCATTGCAGGAGCTCTATCTGGTGTAAGTACTACGTTTTTCACAGTCGCGAGTTGCTCACCGTATGTACGTCCGGGTATCAGAGGATGTGCCCGTTCCATGTCGTCCTCTCCAAGAGCTCCTGCTTCGACAGCTACATCCGCACGTTCTTCTCTGACGAGATCGAATCTCGTATTAGTTCATCAAGTTGCTGCTCGCTCCAGATTACGATGCCCTCGCGTAGTATTTCTTCAAGCGCGACCTCATTCTGTGCGTGATCATCTTCTACTTTTCGTCCTCCAAAGGCACCTGAGGACGCTCAAGATTGTGCTGTGGACGCAGCAGCATCACTCCCGAGAAGCCAAGAAGTGGTCCGTTCCCCTTTCGAAAACTTCAGGGGCTTTAATGGTACTATCGCTTCCGCTGCTGTCCAATTCGGCGAATTCTTTATACCCTGTAGCCACGCACACAGGAGCAAACGCAAGACGAGAAAAGCGCGGTAAAGAAGCGCCCTTCGCGTTCCTACTCTGGTGCGTCTGTCAGAGAAAGACAAGATGAACGTTATCACTTTCATTCTGGACGAAGAATCCTATGCATGTAGTTGCGCCAATCAAAATAAATACGAAAAAACAATCATGCAGTCTTGGTTTCGATTTTTATCACAGAACTGACCGAGATTATCCAAAAAAAAGAGCAAAAGCTTCGGGGCGGGATATATGGGGTCTTTTGTTACCTAAACTTATTCATCAAGCCATTATGGTCTTGACCTTAGTTACAACACATTGCGTTTTCGCAATGATTGAAGACAAAAAGATACACGAGATGAGCTCCACCTTCGCGTAAACACACAGCATTCATGACAATCGCGCAGTGTAAAGTTCGATCATCTTTAGAATCCAACATCTATCATACCTCAAAGCGATCTCGCAATAAAGATGAGCACTAGACCAGTGACCACTCTCTCAAACAGATCAGATCCATCTCTATCTATTCTATTTTCAGACTTCTTGTGATCACGAGGTTCTCTACGAACGTAATCTCGCTTCTTGAACTTCGGCTTCTTAAACAATCGCGGCAAGTCGCCAAGAAGAATTAGAAGGACTTATGAAGATTATACATCTACATCAACAGATGAAGCAAGAGTAAGTCGTCGTTGTACAGGTTGTCTTACATCGAGAATTTGGTACTATATTCTCGTTCCTGCAATGTGAGCAATCTGCATTCCAGCACGTCCTCATCTGTATGTGTGTGTGACTTTGCTGTCAAAGAGCAAAAAAGATACATCTAAGAAAGCCAAGAATAACAACAAACTCAGAGGACGCACAAGCAGCAACTGCGTACGCCTTGATGTTCTTGACGTAGTAAAACCTTCTCACCTTCACCGTGATCTTTCCGAGCCCAGGCAGTACCTTAGTATTAATCAGTTACTTTTTGTCCTGTACAACTCGTTCTTCTAAGTCATAAAAATCGGTAGTAATCGATGTGGAAGAACCATCTTCTACAATTTTGATCCTCAATCAATGTTGTTAATATCCTCCTCAATCAATGTCGTCCTGAATCTATCAGTGTCGTCCCACTCAATCAGTGTCATTCCTGTCCTCAATGCCTAGTAACGAGTATAGAATTAATCATAATTGAGTCGAGTTATTTCTGGAAAGAATCTTTCCGCAGGCAGTATGAAAGTCCCTCCTAAAAAAGAATAGACTGAGATCCAAATTTTGGAAAATCAAAGTTTGGGTCAAAAAATAAATATCTAGTGTTAATAACCATCTACATCCGTGTCCTCTGTGTTCACCAGTCCTTCAATTTGAGACGACCATTGAAAACCACGCCAACATCTATGTGTGTTTCATCATTCGATTATAAGAAGTCTATCTGTATTTATTAAAACAACGGAAGACGGAAAAGGACGCACTAAAAATTTTGAGTTATAGAACAAATACGAACTGGATCTAAATACATACACACTGGTCAAATCTGCATGCACACTGGTCATCGTGGTCAATCTTATGGAGAATAGCAGCATGGTGCCTGCTATCTTCATGTTAGAGGTTGCGACATGGCATTCTTCAGATCATCCCCGGCCCCTTTCCTCCTGGAAAACAGTCAAGGATGGCTGTGAAGAATGCAATGTGGTAACCCTTAATAATGCTTCCTTCGTCGAATGAACAATCTTCGTGTTTGAGCATGTCTTTGTTATTCAGCCGATGTCCCAACTATTCCCTACTTTTCTTTTACCTCTATATTTCTTCCTTGATTTTATAATTAGTGGCTCTAGAAGTGCAGCAGTCGTTTCCATCATCCCTATCTAATTAAAAAGGCCTAGTTCGTGGTTCTTCCTCACCTGAGATTGAGATACATACACATCCATGATTTAAGCTGCTGACCTGTGCCTCGACAACAATCCGTGTCAGCTGAGTGGCCAAAAACGACAATGAAGAGTAAGCATAAGGAAGATAGGCAGACCTCATCTATCATCCACGCAACAACAATATAGTTTCTGCTTTATTTTCTTAGGCAACAGAAGTGCAACACCTTGAATTCGTATCCGACAAATCTATGTTCGGACGAATGAAAATGAAGTTTTTCTAGCTACCATTATATTCTTGTATGTGGTTTTCACAGTCGGTTGTTTTTTTAGTACAAGAGGAACTTATGTGGTTTAAGAAAATTAGTCTAACATGATCTTTTGGCGCACTGCGTTGAATTTGAAAAAAAGATTGTGAGAAGATTCTAAAATTTTTGCACAGACGTCAGATATGAGCAGATACTTTGATCAGTTTTCGCAGAATTTGTTGACAAAATACGAGCACAGACACACACGACTAGATGTAGTTATTTTATGTCGACCACAACAAGAACATCTTGATAACATTGACAACCTAGTTTTTATCTTTAAGCTATGATCTTTTTATCCATTCCTCTATGCAACAACATGCCGTTTCTAGTTACCCTGACATCAGACTTTTGTGTGTGTGTACCTCAGCAATCATCATGTCGATTCAGTGTATGCTTAACTCGTTTCTCGTCGTCCTAGCGTATGGCTTGTTCATCTTTTGCATTATGTATTAGGTTGCTTACTGGCTTCTAAAAAATCACAAGGTATTATCGTTGACAACTAGTAGTATCATTATTCAGCGGACGAGCTATTTTCTTACTGTCGAGTAGCCAAATCATCTGCTCAACATCACAGCTTGTTACTAGCTTTCATGTTTTTGTTTTCGTAAGGCAGCACCGCCAGCCCGTCCCGCGACTAAGAGTACTCCGTCATGTACTTAGCTCGTCACGTACTTGGGTCGTCCCAATGTGTCTGTCGTCGTCGTAATTTTTCGTTCTAGCAGGTACCATCTATGATCACCAGCCACCCCCTTTGTTTCATCTCTAGAAGTACTTGTTATGAGTAAGAAGCCCAATCATGTACATGTCGTGCTGTCGAGAGTTCTGTGTTGTTAAATGATAAGTTGGTCACGTCTCACAGTAGTCCCCAGGAGAGTCTGACGAGTACTTCCTTGCTGATGTTGACGTTCTACTTCTATGACACGAAGACTAGGATTCATCTCACATCGACATTTGTTCGCAACGACAACTATGATAAATATATGTCATAGCTAGTATGGACTGCTCTACCAGAGTCATTCATCTATGGCCGGTTACTACACCACTATCTTTCTACGCATCATTTTTCATACTATGCAACGGAAAATACATGAAATGTACAGGAATTATAGTCGTGATGTAAGAAGTCATACCCTCGCTTTGCTTTCTTCACATTGGACAGCAATTATACGTGAAGAGATTTACAATTAGACATGTACTCTAAGGTGATTTTGATACACGACATCTATTTTCCACAGTTTCACTTTTCACCTCTAGTTTGCGGTACAGAACTTTGCTACACTCACTCAACACCTTGTTGTAGAAGGTACGAGTGAAGCACGGACATGATCAAAGAAGTATTCATTTACTTGCAACTTCATCAATCTCCATTTCTTCTCGTCCCCATACTCACCTCCAACGGCATCCTAGTACATCTGGTTTCGCCCCATACCATGGCCCTTGCAATTCTTCTGCCCTTGATTGAATCCCGTGTTACCACAGCCTCCGCATAAATGGCAGCCTTCTGCACCTCCGTTCACGACGTTGGTTCAACATGAAAGAAGATCTATAACTGGACTGCAAAAACTTGTAACGTCGCTACTGGACACCAATCTAGATGATAGTAGATCTTGCTACATACTACTACAAAAAGAATCTGCTGTAGGTAAGTGCCTACTACTACCTGTAGATCTACTAGCCGTAGATCTACCCGGAAAACGGGTAGACGAATAAAATCTACAGTAGATCTACAAAAAGAATCTACGACCTAGATGATAGTAGATCAGATAGGGACTTACCTGAGAGTTTCCGAACCAACGACTTGAACAAAGATTCGAATCGGAGAACTCGTAAACGCTTCGTATTCTATTACGTCTATTCATATTTCGTACGTACTCGTCTATTCATATAAGTCCTTGTTATTTCATAAACCTTGGTTCACATTCGGAAAAGGCATGCCGTTCTTCTGGCCTCCTGTTGGAAGTGTGATCATTCCGGTTGCGGGGTTCATCTGCCCTTGCATCATGTTGTGCGGTTTCCCCGCCATATTCATCTGTCCTTGCATGTTGTGGAGAATGAAAGCAGTAGGTGCGTGTAACGATAGGTTGTAGGCGGAGTAAACTACATTGGGGATCTGGACCACTTGCAAGAACTACTATTTGTATCCTCATCACACTTGTAAGTGTCACTTATGAAGAATTCAATTGCTGAAGTTTCTACGGACTAGGATCACTGTCCTTCAACTTCGATTATGATCTTTCTATTACCGCGGTGCCTAGTACCTATAAGAGGCGAAAAGAAATCCATTCAACCTAGATAATCTAGATCGTTCCATCAGAAATCTTCTGCAGCGCCATAATGTTGTTATTGTTGCAGTTCATCATCTGATTGTTCTGATTGTTCATCAAGTTCTGGCTGTTCATTGGTGCGAAGCCAAAGTTATTGCAGGGCATGTTCCCGTTCGCTGGACCAACATTCTGCACATTTCCCATGTTACCTCCAGCTCCTGCTCCCACATTATCATTAACACCAGTTGCCGCACCCCCGATGTTGTTGAACTGATTGTTGGCATTATTGTTGTTCACACCAGTCGAGCAATGAGCCATTTGCAGTCCACCGTTGCCTCCATTAACATTGTTGTGCTGCACCAACATGTTAGCGTTGTTGATGTTGTTGTTGTTGTTAGAACCGTTGCTCCCACCCTGCGACGAGGCCGCGACAGTGTTTGACACCTGAGTAGAGGCGCTCTGCATGTGGACACTGCAGACGGTTCCGGCGTCTGCTTGGCCACTGCTGCCAGCGATGTTGGGCTTGCTCTTCTTTCCATCGAACCGAATGCCAGCCAGTACTTCTTTCGCATGTCGCATATCCGTCAAGTATATGAACGCAGGGAGACCAGTACTTCTCCAGGCACTTTCTTGAAAGTTGCGCCAAGTTGGGTAATAAATTAGTTATGAGCTAGAATAAGTACTTTTGTCTTAACAAATTTCGGCTTTTCGTACGACGTGAACCACGGAGAACCCCGCTTGAATTCCCTCTCCCATTCTGCGGGGATTGTATCGTTCAAAGGATGCTCCTGGCAATGCACGCGCGGACGATAACGACCTGTTTGTTTAGCTAGGTATGATTTATGTAGAAGCGGAAGTATCAAGACCTACGATGTTAACTATTATCAAATAATAGGATGGATAATCATTTGAGCTAAGAAATATTAATATCATGAATTTGAAGACAGAACTGCTGAAACCAGGGTCTTCGCTTGGGGTGAAGTAGATGAAGATGAATAGCTACCACATCAAAATGAATGATCAACATCTAAAAAACAAAAGCTTAAGAAGACAGGAAAGAACATAATACCGCCAGTGTAGTCGTAGTAATCTTGAAAGATCTTCTCCAAAAGAGTGTGAACGAGGTGCTTGGCAATGATGTAGCCCTCTTTCGTGGGAACCAAGACTTAGAGTCTCCAACAAAATTGAATTCATTTCCTCGGAATAAGGTTCCTAGCTTTAATATCATCTACGTTTTACTCAGAAATCGATCCTCCAAGGCGCCCTACAATATCTGAGAAGATAACCTCCTACTTCGCCTGTATGCTCAGAAGATAACCTCCTGTCTCATGTTTGGAACTGAGTGGTCAATAATTGTCGTCTCCACTCTGGGACTAACTTACATAATTTCAATCGTTAAGAATCTTAAGAAACATTTAACTGGCACGGAGCGTTGTCCTCTTCATTCTGGAAACCCTCGCCACGCAGACGCACTTTACATCCTTGCACGACGTGCGAAATGTACTTCACGTTGTGACCTGTGATGTACATTGATTCATATTTATTCTAGAAAAACTACTGGGTAGAAAAACAAGAGGGAAACGTTCTTGGGATCAAAATGTACTGGTGCATCATAGCTATGAAGAGACGATAACAGGAAGGGACTTCGATACTAGGAGTGGTCAGTACAATAAAAAGAGGGACGTAATATCATTAAGAAGAGGACTCGTCAACAAGTACAACAAGAGATATTAGAAATCAAAACTTCCATACCGTCCGGGCCGATGATGCGTTTGGCGACGTCAAAGGGGTCGCTGAGCTTTACGCCGAGCAAGTAGGTGCACAGAAATTTTCCTGACGTGTCAGGGCGCTTGCGCATGGATCGATGTTTAGAGCTCACCCAAATCCATCTCCAAGTCCATCCTGAGACTGCTTTCCCCTTGAAAACGTCGCTAAGATGCCTCGGAAGATGGATTAGGGGAAGCCGTAAGATGTGCTGCAGCGATGTTCTGCTGAGGGTTCATTCTCCCATCCATTCCACCAGATCGGCCTCCACCAAAGCCACCTGCATTCGAGGCATCCCCGCAGTTCAGACCAGAATCAAACTGAGAGAATCCCATACCTCCATCACCAAGTCCGCCAGCTCCCTGCTGGTGTCCAGACATGTGAATTAGAAGATGAGCAATGCTGTACTTGTAAAAAAAACTGGAAGGTCATCATCTCTAAGTAGTAAAGGACCTCAGTATGCGCAAGTCTAGTGCCAACAGTTCAGACAGCCCACACCTGGTATAAGTATATCCGGATTGTTAGCGATAAGTTTCAAACCCAGAGCGTGAACTGGATCTTCATCTTCCTCCACATGATCCTGTTATAGGGCTTTTAATAAGGAACTGAAGAGTATTAGGAAGGCTCCTACGGATATCAAATCCTATTACATCATAATTTTCACTATGTATAAATTAGCGCATGCTCCTGTCATAAGTGATTGTTATCCCCAGCGCCTTGGCCCATCATACTCTGTTTAGCATTGTTGCCGCCCATCGCGCCACCTCCAACCGGCATACTGTTGGAATTTCCGAACCCCACTTTTCCACCACCCATACGGTTATTCCCACCGCGTTGGCCTTTCTGCGGAAAGCCCGGCGGGGCACCCAGCGCAGCCATGTTGTTTCCGTCGCTCAACATATTACTGGCACTCATATTAGAACCACGGTGAAGGTCAGCAGCAGTCGTACTGGCATTGTTCCCCGCAGCCACATTCTTCATCATGTTCCCGAAATTGCTCGTGTTGTTGTTCTGGTGGTGGGACTGCGAGCCAACACCTACTCCTCCTTTATTCATGCTCGGCTGTCCCTTAGCCATGTTGTGGAGGTTGAGTAAGTTGGCACTCATCGCATTCGCGCCTCCAGCACCAGCCAAAGTCGCGTGATTATTCAATCTAGATTAGAGTGTGCTGGAATTCATCTCGGTCCCCCCATCTTGATGCTTTTTCCCTTGTATTTCATGGGAAGACAGGGGAAAAGGGTGTCAAGATGCTCAGCGAGATGAATAAATATAAAAGCCGACCATAAATAGAATTGCTGGTGTTGTTCATCACGTTGTGCATGGACGAAGAACGCGTGGTAGTGTTGTCACCGGGTAGCATTCCGGAACCCCCAGCGTTAGCCCCAGGACCATTAAGCGCATTGAGCAGATGGTTCTGGTCGGAACATCCAATAACGCCCGGTGCATTGTTCATTAGAAGATGAGCTGTCTCTCGGGTGAAATTCATTGTCCTACACACTGAGATGCAAGATTGTTGTTCACTTCCCTTGTTTCTAGAACAACTAAGTACTGTTGTTCTAGTAAATGCTGCTGCATGGGATAAGCCTAAATCTATAGAGGTGAAAACTAAGTAACCGGTTGTTTTACTTAGTGCTTTGAGCGTCGCGGGACCTAAACCTTCACCTAAAAGGTGAAAGCCAATCAAGATTTGCAGCACACCTCAAAGAGAAAATAAGAGAATATAAGGGGAATGTAGTTAAATACTATCAAAATTCCTCTTAAAGTCAAGTGGTGCTCCCCAGCCGAGGGCGCCATAGCTGCTGCCGCACTGCCTTCCATGTGAGCCTGCCCTGCTGCCACTGATTTGCCCCCAGCGCACATTCTGGTGTTCGCACGTGCACGCTCATCCGGTCGGTCGCCATCTAAGGAGCACTTAGAACCACGGCGCTGGCGCGATTTACCCGCCAACATCTTGAACGGATCCATGCCACCGCCACCTTGATGCAAAGCGGCATCTGAAAGAAAGGATGTTGGTTCAAATCTCGTCAGAGAGACGAAGCAAGGACAGAAGCATCTAAACTAGAAGAAACTGCAACGTAAGATGAGTAATCAGTCATCGTCGTGTTGCATCCAAAAGTGTAAGGATTGAAGAACTAGACTATTCTAGGTCTGATCCCAAATAGAAATGATTACCTGCAGCCAACTGCATGGCGGCCGGGTCATATGGCGGCCAAGTCGGGGGCCAGTGCGGCATCTGGCCAAAGTCCGGCAGCACGCCAGCACCCGCGCCATAGAAGTACGAGGCTGCCTCAAGCTGCTTATTCAATCCGGCTGACGCAAGAGCCCAATACGCTTCCCATGCCTCCATGGCGCCAGGAAAAGCACCAGGCAGGTACGGGTTCCCAAATGGATCGCTCGGTGCAGCGGAAAGGTTCTGACGAAGAGAATCAATGGCAGTGAGCAGTACTTCAATGACAGCAGTAAGTTGTAAAAGCATGTACCTCTTCCACAATAACTACCCTTGAACATAAAAATATGCAGAAGCTCGAAATCGAACGCCACAAGACGAATATTATCCAATAAGAAATACCGCACGTCCAGCGGCAGCCAAAGCAGCCCCAGGAGACGAAAACGCAAGAGGGTCAAAGAACGGAAAGGGAACAGAGTCGGCAAACGGAAGAGGAACTGGCGGCCACGATCCAGGCACGCGAGCTTGAGGCGGCGTAGGAGGAGAGGCACGCTTACCACCTGCCATTGGGCTAGCCTGAAATTTCATTTTGGTTTGAGTAGTTCTTCATAGTTGTTGTTTACAAGGTCTCTAAATATACTTATACTTCAATACCTATTTCGAATCAGAAGTAGAGGAAGAAAGTGGGAAAGGACAAACACAGTAGTGAGAGCACAAGAACTTTTGGTTTATGTGAGTCTAAGTGCCTTTCGTCCCGTCGCATCCGCTGCATTCTGTGCTGCTCTCGCGGCATTCGAGGCGTTGATGGCTTCGTGAATCGCATTTGCAGTTCGTTCGCGCAGAGCACTCGGAGTATCGACGCTCGCCGTGCGCACGAAGGGTGGCTCTAGCATGATTTTGTTGAGTCTCTCGTAATCGCTGGTCGAAAGGCCTACTGAGCCCGCTGCGGCGCGACCTCCAGTGCTGAAGTCAGCGCCTCCACTTGCCTCCTCCTCCACGTCTTCGTCAGCCTCTTCTGCCAGTTGTTCTTGACTTAGCACTAGAGTACCACTATGCGTGGCTGACGAGAGACTTGCCTTCTTTGATCTCTATCAAGCTGAGGGATTTGCACTTAGGTTTCCCCTGATCTCTAAGGGGAATCCACAACTCGTCAGCATAGTGGTTTGTCCAAATTATGGAACGATAGTGATAAAAGGTAAAGTAGAGGCCTTAATTGAGGCGTCGCAGAGTTCGAGCGCAAGTCCAAACTCGGGAAACTCTCTGGATCGTCTTCTAGCGGCACGCCTGCAGGCGAGAGCGTTTGCTTGGGGCGCCGTGTCGAAGTCGATCCCGATAGAGTTCGGTCAAGTTGCGGTGAAACCGAACAAGAGCGCGACGACGAAACCAAGTTACTGGACGACACCAGCGGATGTCCTCCGGGACTACTGTTCAGGCCGTGCTTTAGAGCTCAAAACGATCCATTTCTTGCCTTCCTTTCTTCATATGATCCCAAGAAGAAAGCCGAAGAAGATGACCCTTGGAAATCACTTGTATTGAGCCTTAAATGTTGCTGTCCCACCTCCAGAGTCGTCGGAGAAGGCGAGCTTGTTCCCGTGGCCGTTGTCAGCTGGTTGCTGTTCGCCAAGTCCGCGCGCTCCTCTTCCGACAAAGCAGCATTCGTTTGATGCTTCGGCGTGGTCGTCGGCAAGGCCGACACAGTGCGGGCCAAATGCTGAGAAGCCTCAAAGATCTGGGTCAAACGCTCGTATTAGAGGACCTCGCATAAGTCTCCCGTCTTAAAGTGGTGTATCCTGGAACTACCTTGTTCCCCCCCTTCAAAACGGAGGGCCCAGAATGCTTGCGAAGAAAGATGTAGATCTGTGGTGGAAATCTTAATCGTAGTCCGCCGCTGCAAGGCCCAGAGACGTGGTCCGGTAAGCCCGCCAGCAATCGTCGGACACCACACTGCCAGAGGTTTCCAACAATCCACCTTCGTTGTTTAGAGCTTGAAGCAATGCATTTGATGATCATGAAAAATATATGTTCACCTGATTCGTAGTTGAGATAAAGACTTCGCTACTCTGTCAATGCTTGTTTGTCCAGGCAATCAATTTCTGAAGTTTCTTAATCATATTTCATTGCTTTTGAATTCCGAGACGGAAAGAGTAGAGGTGAAAGACCTTTGGAAATGAATCACGCCAAGCCTTAATCTGTTGCTCAAGCCGTCGCTCGTCGCAGAAACCGAGCCTTGCCCTTCGTGCATTTCTTCGATAGTAGCGGGCGTAGGAGGATGCACAAGAGTCGGAAACGATGTAATTTAGAGGAGGAGCTCAAAACATTCCAGTATCGCACTGCCATTGATTCACATTTCCTACGGAGGTTCATCATTTCATCCTCATTTACGATAGATTCTTCCAAAATAACGAAGAACAAGACAGAGAAAAGTGACCTCGTCCTGTGGTGGAAATCAAAGAAGTACAGGAGTGAGGAGTCTTAAGTAGTGGCGCCCAAGGTGTAAGTGTCGTCAAGATTGGAGTTGTACTCCACATCCTGGCTCGCTGCAGCGACACTCGTCGCGGTTTGTCGCAAAGCATCCTCCACCTTCTGCTGTTCCATCTCCACTGAAGTTGTCTCCTTGCTTTGTCCTTGTTCTTCCACAACATTTGCAGTGAAGATTAGACCTCGTCCACTAAAGGATTCATCTTCTCGGTTAGGATAGCATTCATCTTGGTGACCCTTTCGTCCCCCTCACGGCTCACGTCAAACGAAACAGGGGACGGAAACCAAGATGCTTAGAGAACAAAGATAGACTTCCTCGCTCGGGATAGGGCCTTAAATTGAATAAAGCAGAAGCACTGGAGTTCAAGTTCCCCACAGCCAATCTAGTCGACTTGCCTTCTTTATTCTTCTTTTCCTTCTTTGCTGAAGCACTGTACAGAGCCTTCTGTAACTGCTTCTCCAATGCCTCCAAGTCGCTCACTCCCGTCGAAACCTTTTCCCTCGGAGGTATGAAAGTACAGTCTATAAAATGTTCAAATGTATGAAGATGAGTAGTCCATAGTCTATGTGAGGCATGTGCTACTGCCATGTTCGGTTATTAATATGAAAGTAGTCCATACGAGTAGACAGATGTCTTTAGGTCAGGTGTTGGATTAAGTTCTTGATGTATGTACGACTTGGTGCAATATAAGTTCTCACTTCTGAGTACGATGATAAAATCGTGTCTCTGCAAGGTACTAGGTGAGAAAATCTCATAATGGAGGTGTTCTCGCTGTTCATCGGAGAGGCCAAGGTGTCCGGGAAAAAGGTATGAAAGGGGTCTTTTCCATCTAAGTGATGGAAGGGGGTTTGTCCATCTGGGTAGACTCTGATAGTGCTGTCTAGAGTCTCTGAAGATAGGCATGCTAAAGATAGTCAGATTGTCCTGTGTGCGTCTCTGAAACTGCTGTCCAGTCCGTAGCACCCGTACTAGAGACTACTTGTGATAGTCGGCGTGACCGAGGCCAAGACACGAAGAGACCAGGCTAGTTCTGATAGTGACCGTGACCGAGGCCAAGACACGGCTAGCAGTACCATCTTTCCAGCACTCTTTTTATTCACTCCAAAAAAGTGCTGGGTTTCAACATTTTCGTCTATAAGGATGGGACAAAAAAGTTAATCCGTACAGGTGATCCGGAAACAACTGCTGTAGTTCTTGATATCCACTGGTGCGCTCTTCACGCATAGCTTTCTCGCGCAAGCCGTGAAGCATTTCGTGCTGGCCAAGCGGCGAGTCATCCACTGTGTTCTCGGTGCAAGGAGAGTCGTGGCACTTCTCCTTCACGTCAGGACTCAAATTAGACCTACTAGACAACATAAAATTAGACCTACTAGACAACATAGAGACAACCTACAACGGTGGTCTTCTTGTTCAGTAGTAAGAAACAGCTACCTACCGACGTACGGCACTGCGCAAGTACAGTCATCTTGTTCGGTTTACTTCAAATGAAAGCTTCTAATACATTGAAGTAAACCGCTATCATCTTCCATTTCCTTTTAGAAGGGCATGCTCGCGAAGGTGAGGCTAGGTTAGGTCGTTAGGGATCCTTCGCATCACACTCGCGAGATGAACTGTACTCTAGAGAAGAGCAGCCTTAATCTCAGGAGCCCCCACAACCGCCGCATTCGCTGGCACACCCGTTTGGCTACCTGAGCCTGTTGTAGTCGGTACGACCACGCCGGTCGTGCAGCTGTTTTCGACTTTCACTGTATCCGTCATCTCGTTGGTGTCGGCTTGTTGATTCCTGATCCGTAAAAAGAGCTAGTTTTGTGCGCCACCGCGTAGTTCGAGGTAGTGACTGTTGATGTGGTGGTGGCCGTCGATGTGCCTCAGAACGGAACTGAGAGATGACGTAGACGATGCAAGCAAAAATAAACTCCAAAAAAGACCACGACCGACCAACGTGCAATGCAGATTGATTTTTTTCGCAAACTAAAAGAAGACCACAAGTAGCTTAACTTAGTGAGCTGTTATAAGTTTTTTATACTCTAGCACTTTTTTAGCCTTACAGCTAATTCATAATCGTCTTCAGCTGTTGATTCTAAATCTTCTAACTGATGAAATAGGTATAAAAATATTTTGTATGACAAAGAACGTTCTGTAACATGAACTAGTTATGGACATACAAAATTTGTAGTTCCTTTACATGCAAGATACCCAGAACTGGTCACGGAAATTTATCTAAGCTATGGCATTGGAATTGGAAAATCATGGAAATGAAACTCATGATGAAACGAACTTCATCAAGATACTCAATCGTTCAACCCATCGCCTCTCGCTCAAGCGCATCATCTTTTCTTGGATCATCAACACCATGCCAACTACGTGATACTCTACTTTAGTGGCTACTTACGTGCAACACACCGATGGGGAAGACCACACCGATATCTGAATCCTGCTGACCGCAATATCTTTCTCTTGATGACAGTTGGATGCGAACACTGATACACAAATGAGGAACCAACATGCCACCACTACCAGCCCATACCAGGATAGAAAGAACAGTCTGGCATCTGAACTCCGAGTATAATCTGGCCAGTGTCGTATACCCCAGATACGGTAGTACGTCCTCGGGCACCTGATCAAATAAACCCGCAGAAGAGTTATGCTGCTGTCATCATCATTCAGCGCTGGACAACAGCTTTATAGAGCATGTCTACCAGCAATAGACAATAGACAATAGATGTCAATCCCAGCAATAGACAATAGTTGCGAAGATCAACTGCGAGATGGATCATGCTTTTTCAATCATCGCCTTGAGTTTCTCCACGACCACTGGGTTGCATTCAGTCTTGATTTCTTTCAGCTTTCTTTAGAGTCAGCCTTTATCCATTTTCTCAGTCGCCTCATCTCGACCCATATTTTCATCCCCTGTTGTGCACTTCATGGAAATCGAAGGGCAAAAGACCAAGATGAATTATGTTAGTATTAATGTATATAAGCTGCTGTATAAAACAGGGCAAAGAAAAGGGTAGACCTACCAAGATGTTGCCGAGAAGGATGGATAAACGCTGACCATAATTTGTCTCGATCTCCTTCTGCGATACCTTGCCTAGGTTCTGCTCGCCCCACGCCCTGTAAGACGCGGCCTTGGCTGTGGTAGTTAGAGCTACCGCTTTCGCATCTTCCTCTTTGAGAATAATGCTATTACCCTTGGAGGAGCTTCTTTTTCAAGGACAAAAAAAAGATCTTCCGGGGACTATGGTGCTAAGGACATCATGGTTCAACGGTAGCCTTAAGATAGCCTTCGTCGTTTTAGCGTCCAGCTCCAAATCAGGAGACTCCATTAGAGTGCAATAATAAAGCAGCGCTTGCATGGCATCTCGCTCGCACGCGTACCTGTAGTGATAATCATGATGTTGAGGCAAATTTATTACTGTAAAGAGGCAAATTAGAATTATACCGTGCAGAGCGAGGCAAAGAAGTAGCTTCTAAAGGACAAGGAAGAAGATTTACAAATAGTTCGTCGAAGATGGAGAGACAGATTCTAATATCGACATGTGTTTGAGTGATGGAGCCGTGCTTCTCCTCGTCCAACTAAAAAATTACTAATCTCTCGTCGAAATCCAAACACAAACACATGCTTACACACGACCAAAAAAACAAGAACCAAAAGCAAAATATTATACATAATGGCTATGAAAACCAAAACAGCAGTATATGATCATTATGATGGAAGGAACCAAAACAACAGCATCTTTATCATATAGTAATAGCATCCTGGAAACTAAAGCAACAGTATCTGTATCATTTCGTACCCTGTCTCCAAAAACGTCTCTATGACGTGGAGTGAGTCTTCGAGCATTTTTTTCTTGTATACGCTTGGCATCTTCAGCATCGCTGCATTCACAGCCTCTTTTTTCCTTGGCTCTAAAGACTTCATTGGCGCATAGTCGCCATCTTTTCGCTGCAAAATATCCAATTGAGCCTGATTTATTCCACCATTGAAGGGGGTGAACGATAGTAAGAGTTAATATTATACTACTAAAGATCATATTAGTATAATGGCTACTAGTACAGTGGAATATGATAGTGATGCAGTACATTCACCATTTGTAGTACATCCACTACAATGGCTATAATGAGTGGTGGTGGAGAAGGAGATGCAAGTTGTGGAAATCCTGGTTATGCTGTGGCCAAAACATTGTCAGTAAGCGAATATCAGAAAGTAGCCGACTTCTACCAGAGAAAACATCTGTTGTAAGTTAGAGGAGTTTTTACGACGGACTCGTGTAAGAAATTCCTTTTTTATTCATACATTAGCCCTCGCCACATACATCCATCGGAATAGAAAAAAAGTACCATTTGTGAGAGCTCCTTCTCGATGAGTAACCTTGGAAGTGTTTCGTCTATGTACTCAAGGTCCAAAAAGTTTACTGCAAGGCCATGGTCTAATGCAATTTGACCTTTCCTAGCAAGTTCCACATCGAATTCCTGTTTTTTTTTTGGGGGAACATCATGACGAACATGAACATCTTCTATGTACTATGATTAATTACAGTGAAAGCCAAAGCCTGGATCGCATTGAGAAGTGGACGCTACTAGATCGTCTACTGGTAAACACTGTTGAGTCTGCAAAACGGAAAATCAAAGTAGCTTTCTGTAATCTAAACATACCTTTAAAGCTTCGACATTTTCCTGCGTGAAATTCGCTCGCATGTCGACCACTCCCTTCATCTCAAGCAGTGTACTCACAGCCATAACACCAGGGTGATTTAGGTAGTGAAAAGCGTATGCATTTCCGTGACAGCACAGTGACATGGGGACCACTTTTGCGCCTTGCCCGCCTGCACTTGGCGCGGCGCTTGCCGCGCGCCGAAGCGCTCCTCGCGCAAACATTCTCCTCGCTCTAGCGGATTTTTGTTGTGCTTTTGTTTAATGTACTCAGTTTTTGTGGATAATAGGAGGTCAACAAAGATGAACCTTCTGAGAATGAATGAAGTTTCGGCTCCTGAGTCGTACTCAAAAATTCACAGCAAAGAACTACATAAGTCACTAAATCCTGAGTACCTCAAGTGGCACTCTGAGAAACAACTATTGTTTTTTCAATGGAAAGTTCTAAGAAGAGAGCATTTCTTCGCTCAACTTTTCCTTGAACCGAGAAACATTTTACCGATTCGCAATGGCAACTCAACATCCGAGAGAGCCATGATCTCTTCCGTCCAAATTCAACATGATTTTCTCCGCGTCTCGTGCTGCGGAGGCAGTGAAATAGCACTCAAATTCACGTCGCTCGCTGGACACACGCTCTCCACGTAGCACTCCTTCAGATGGATTGACTGTTTTATACTTCTAATTTGATACTGCCGTCGTTGTGGTCAGCGTCACGTTTGTACTGTTCTACAAATACTTTCGCTCGTTGATTCGGTCCAGAATCTCTCCTTGTACTCGACCCAAGTCCTCCAGAAGAATGGCCGCTAGCAGGAAACCTACTCTGTTATCATGTTCACAACACACAAGAAGCGATAGAATTATTATAGGGAAAACGCGCGAAAAACTAGAATATGAAATAGATCCTGCATAGTGGATTGTTTGTACTTGCATATTCATCTTCAAATCATGACAACTGTTCTTAGGTTTATTCACCCTTTCTTGACTTTACCCTCACAAGTAAACTGTTGTTCGCGATTCACCTTTCCACAACTTTCTTCATCGACCTTCTTTCCCACGACTCGTGTCGGTTCACCATCTTCTTTCCGCTCTTTGCCTTTCTCAAACGCCGACGGAAGAGCATCTCGGTTTTTATAGGCCTCCGCCAAACACGTGGTGACCTGTACACCGTTTTCTATAGCGTGCCATGCGCAGTATATGAAGGCCGACACAAGCACGAGCATCAGAAAGAAGCTCAGTGACAAGCCCTCATCGTCGTCGCTAGAGGGAAAAACAATATTGACCTGCTCCAACGATGGTGGAGCATCAACCTCAATGTCAACATTTTCACCTCTACTTCCGCCGGCCATTATTTTATCATGGGGTCTCACTTCTGCATATAACAACGACCTTCATGATCTCCCTCACTTCCTTTTTCACGCGACTAAAAACAAGTAAGGACTTTTCGTATAATCTAACTTCTGACTGGTCTCACACCTGTACTGAAGTACTTAGTCTAGGGATTTCCCTGTGCCAGTGAGCATCTTTAGAAGGCCGAATGTCAGCCTGCTTGAACGATTGTGGTTTATAACAGAGAAATAACTTGCCCAAACGGCTGGAGCTGTCTGATCCCATGGAAAAAAGATGACCAAGAACACATTGAGAGCAAGCAAGAATCAATTAGACTTACACATTGCTAGAGTGAACACTGAAAACTTGCTTCAAAGATACCAGGAGTCGGCTCCCCTACTCTCGGCATCAAAGAAGTGTCCTGCACAAACAGAAGGTGTTTCTTTGACCCGTTTCCAAGAAAAAGAAAGCTCTGCTGACTTCAAAGTCATTTGTCGACTTCAAACATCAAAGATTCAAACTACGATTCAAAAACAACCCCCAAATAGGTGGATTAGCCTATGCATCGTCAAAAAGTTGTCACCCATACCCAACATCGACTCAAGAAGAACTCAGAGATTTACAAATACGACTACTTCTCACTTGACAAATGTCGAAACAAACTAAAAAACTTGAATCTGAAATTTATCATCAAATAGTTGCAAGTACACACTTGAACTGTCCTACGAAAGTGATTTATTCATCGATCAACATTACATCAGTACTACCTTCTAGGGGAAAGAAATCAATCAGCAGGTGCTACCACAAAATGGTTGACCTATGTCATAGTGTACGAAAACTACAACCAGTTGTGACCCATGATGAACAAAATAAACAAGTTCTACTATTTACACGCAGAGACTCACACCGCTGTCTTCTTCTACAGGACCTTCTGCTTTAGCATTTGACTACCACTTTCTTCAAATGCATTGGTAAAAGCGTGTCACCTCCATCCTTCGGAAGCGGTAATATCTCAACCTCTCGCTTCTGTAATGCATTAGAGGGCAGGATATGAAAACATATTGAGTGTTCATGTCGTGGTAGGAGGACCTCTAAAATTGAGGCAGCACTCATGATCATGTACACGTTGATGAAGCAACTAGCTTCTACATCGAAGGTGATCATCGAAGGGGGGACAAAACAACGAGGGAATACTTCTGACGCTGACCGAATAACAAAGTCAAAGACTACTCTTGCAACTACTTGGACTAACAATCACACACTTAGATAAAGAAGTACCCTTGCTTTCGGTGGCTTCGGGTTCTTCGCTTTCGGCGCCTTGCCTTTCCACGATGCTGACACCGTTACGAAGTGTTGAGCCCGCTCCCTCGCTATAGTTAGCGCTAGTTTTCCACTATCCCTGTTTGAATGAGTTCCCCTCTTTCCGCCCCCTTTGATTCTTTCTCTTTGAAGAAATAAGAGGAGGACCTCCCCGTCCCCACTCAACAAAGATAGAACTTCAGATGGGACGATTTGGTAGTGGAAAAACTAACCTTAATATAGCGCGTTGCCGAGCTCGATACGCCTCTGAGTCCCCGTCGTCCAGGTGGAAAGGTTTAGTTTCCGCCGATTCCTCTTCGGCTGAGGAGTTCTGGTCTATGTCACTGTTAGAGGTTGCAGCATCAAATTCTTCAGAACAACATCCCTTGCTTCTTTTCTAGTACGAAATGAAGGGCCAAGTAGTAGGACTTCTCCTCTATGATGAATTGAATCCATTCGGCGAGCTACCTAAGACTTCCCAGACGAGTCCTACCCGCTAGGCTAGCTTGTTGTTGGGTTGTTAGTGGTCTGTCGATTGTTCCTGTAGTTGTTCCTGATGGTGAACGAAGAGCTTCTCCCCTATAATTTCTAGTATAAGATATCTAGTAACTTACAAAGTATCTTACTGTAAGATGAAAAGAGCCAAGGATGCTACTAGAGAATGCAATTTGGAAACCCGTAACCATGGGCACTGGCGCATCCGCATCTTGAACGATCCTCGTTTTCGACGGTGACGGCAATTCGTCGTCGTTGTCTTCGATCGGGACAGGCTTCTCCGACATTTTGTGCTTAATTTAATGATCGGAGCAAGCTTTTGATGTTTCTTGTTTTTAGCTCTCCTCTTATTCTTGTTTTTCTAGTTGAACACATATTACTTGTTTTTAGTGCTCTTATTCAGTGTTACTAGCGCTTAGGTTAATATATTAGGTCGCTTGGAGTTGGACTTGGATGGAGGCAAGGACTAGAACTGGGGGAAGATGCGACGTTTTCTAGCATAACATTCCTTACAGTAGAAGTTAGATCGATGACTACTGGAAAAAAGTGTTTGACTCTCTAGAACTCTCTAAAGTCTGGTGACCAGAGGTTTATGCGGTTCTTGACGAGAAAGGACTATAACGACGGCACGACAATGACGGCATTCATGAGTGGGATGTCGAACAAGTGCACGTTATGAATTAGGAATAAGATGAAGAATGATTCCGAGATAGTCTACACAGACAGTGCAGCACTGAGAAGGTCGGTCCAAGACGACGAGCAGGGCAGGTAGTCCACTAGCAGACACGGATCGGTCTCTCAATCTATCTATACAACCAGTGTAGTGTTGATACCGAAAAAACCGATTGCACGAACTAGTCTGGTGCGGCTCTTCCAGGACTAGCATACATCATCATATCCTGCTAATCGACCGACGTCGCAAGACCAGAGACTTGCTTGTCACGAGAAGACACCAACATTGACACAGATGCATCCTCTCTATGCTAGGTAGCATTGAAACACGATCCTGCTTCGACACGCGAAGATGTCTTGGACAGGTGATGAGCGATCCTCAGTCAATGTATTTTATGCGAAGACTGTAAGTGATGAATCCGAGAGGATAACTGTAGTAGCCATTAATTATGTCATGGAAGCGTCATGACTCGGACTGTAGTCAGTCGTCTGGAACAAGCGTCATCATGGCAGCGGATCTTCATATGATTCCCGCCAAGGTGTTTCGGATGAGAACGGAATCAACAAACCTGCGTCTATTAACGGTCCCTTAGCGTCAAACGCGGCAAAAGGGTTGCGCTTGACGCGCTCAATCGTCTCTGCGTAGCCCAGAGCCGCATCCACATCCAAATCCGCGACCTTCTCGTAGAGGTAAGCTAGCTCTCCATCCGACAGAGAATGTCCAAATTTTTCTAGCAGCAATTCTGGAACGTTCTCGCCGACGTCGGCCCCGCCACAAGGAGAGTAAACAGCGCCGTTGCGATAGCAACAAATGATTTTCCTTCGATATAGCCATCCCAAAATGCGACGACTTAACAAGGACCGCTGCTCCTCTTTCTTGGTGCTTCCTGGAAAATTAGAGGAACCAACAGGAAGTTTGTGTATCTATATCTGCCGTCGTCTTGAGTAGATGAAAATAAAAGTACTACTCCTCCAGCTCAGTGAATATTAAAGCCTACGGAAGATCGATAGATATTGATATCACAAAAAATAAAAATCGTCTACGTCATATTATACTTAAATCAGTGATGACGGTTTCACTCCTGCTCATGATTGTGCAGGTAGTTATCTAAGAACAGCTGCGTAAGTGGAATTTGCTCTTCTGCTACCGGTTCCTGCGAAGCAACCGCATCTATCATCTCGAACCATGCGTAAGCATCCGCACAGCTTAGTGCCGCGATAATGTCTAGGATCACGAGACCGTGAAAAGTTTCCGCGAACGCTCGCTCCGTCTGCTCTGTCACTACTTGAGTGAATACCACGTTGTTCACGTAGAAATCCGCAAGCGGTACTGAGCACGTCGCTGCGACATGATCAAACGTCCTCTCGTCTCTAGAAGGAGAGGTAGTATTGGTTCTACTACCACCAACGCCACCACCACCATCGCGACGACCATCACCGCCACCACCACCACCTCCGGTATTTCCTGCAGTGACAGGGGAGAGCGCTTGAGGTCCGAAACCGAAGCCGCGACGTGGAGGATAGTCCAGAAGGAACGCGCTCTTCTCTTGTTCCTCTTGTGAGTATTTTGCCGCGTCGTCATCGTGCTCGTCCCATAAAGCGCTTGACGAAGTGCTCGCGCCCATATAAGATCCTCCTAGCTGACTCCTGCTATTCTTGTCGATCTTATCTTGTCGATTTTGCTCGTGCTGTATTAGAGAATCTTTCTTTTCCTCCTCCATGAGCTCAGCGTATCGCACATCTAAATAGCTCGGTCTGTGAAGAATGATATCCTCTGAAAAAGGCGCGCCCACGAATTCAATCATGCTCAACGTCTCCGGCAAGGAGGATGGTTTTTGAGACGACGACGACGACGAGGACGAGAGCTGGCGTTGTCCGGTTGCTTCGCTGCTGCCAGGTATAGAAAAAGTAACCCCGGAAACGGACGATCCTGTCGGTGACAGTGGCGCAGGCGGTACTCCTTGTCCTTCTACTTGTTGATGTTCTTGAGCCCACTCAGTACTTCTAGTACCTTCATCTTTATCGGAGGTATCTTTATCCTTATTGTCCACAGGAGCAGCACTCGGATCACCCAATACTTGTGGCGGAACCACTGCACTCGGGTCATCGAAAATGGCTATGCTGGTGTTTCCACCCGGATACCGCTGAAGGCACCAGTAGACCCGCTCCAACAAGCCTGTCTGCTGAAACAATATCGGATAAGTCTGGAAGAGATCGCTACATCGGCGGCAAATTTTCCACAAATTCTCGGTGTTCAACACCCCAGTGTACTCGGACCGCGTAACTAGGACAATATTAAAACACAGCAACTCTCCAAAGGGCGTACTTGATTAGAGCAAGCTGCAGCATTGCACTCTTCGGACGCTGCCCTGGGACCCAAGTTTTCTACTTGAGAACAAAAGGTCAAGGATGCACGTGCAGAATGCATTGAGGAAACTCTTAATTTAGGCCACTTTGCTGCTGGACTAGTGCACTGTCTTTGTCGTTTATTATACCCATCTCATCAAGGCCATCCGTTCGCATGCTGAGTTTGGAAGGGTAATCTTCAACAACAGCATGAGTAGAAAAGAACTCGTCATTTTTCTCAGCTCCCCGATCTTGGCTGCAGGGAGGATAATCTACACCGCCCTCTCCTGATGCAGGCCGAAAGCCTCGGCCTGCATCGCCACTCCCAAATGGGCTTCTTGTTGTCTCCAAATTCGTATCCGGAAGCGGAACTTTGAGTAAAGCGCTAGTCGTTGTTGATACTGGACCTGGAGCACAGGCAGGCTTGCTTGTTTCCGAGTCTAGGATTCCCTGACTGCTCATCCTTGCGCTCTTGCGCGCCGTGCGGGTCGGCGGGCGATCGACGAGAACGACCCTCGCATCTCGAGGGAAGGAGGATACCCGCAACCTCGCTGGTGGCTTGGTGCTGAAGCTCGTTTTATGATCCGCGTAGTCCAAAATGAATTCCAGCCGCTCGTTCAGCAGTTTTCGTTCGCGTGGTAGAAGCATGCGGGCTAAGGATCCATCGCTGATATTGCCGAAAGAGTTCTTGTCAGGCGGATACCGGAACAAAATCCGCGCAGGCTCCGTGGCGGATTCGACGACGCATAAAACACCCAACATATTTCTTCTTCCTGTGCCACATCAAAAGCCAAGGCAGGCTATCGTCAACGCGTCTCAAGTGATCACTCCTGATCAGCGGCAAGACGAAACAATCCCTGCGACGGACATGCTAATTTTGTTTACTCACCTTCTTCTTACACGACTCATAGAAGTATTGATGATTCTTGGGCAGAAAATGCGACCTCGACATTTTAGCAAGACATGGCGTATTCTGTCAAGGTCAAGCTCATAGCAGGCGACATTAATTCACACCAACCATGCAAAAAAGAAGAAAAGTATTTCATCTAATTGTTTCATCTTTTAATTTCATATGCTATGCATTCTTTATCATATCAGAGTTACTACTCCAGCCTCCGAAGTAGTGAATTGATTACTAAAAACCTTCATAGAAGTTACCCTCCCTTCAAAGTGAACCAAGCGGTAGGCCTCTTCTTCCTGACATTTGTTTTTTTTGAAAATATACTCAGACACCCGACTATATAGTCAGAAGGGATACGATGTACTAATTAACAAATTCTTCACGTTGTAGTTGTAGTTGTTGCAGTTCTACTACTTAATCTAGGTAAGCAGGCATTTTTAATGGCTTAACGACGCGTCAGGATCATGTCAGAAGCTCCATCCGAGAGCGAAGATTTAATAGCTTCATTGCCACAGTTTTCGATTGTAGCACTACCGATTCTTGACCTGCTACGGCAATCCCAGCACAGACAATGACAAAAGTAGAAAAATCCTTTCTTCAGGAAAACTACTTGTGTACTAGACACCATCGTTTCTTCTCATAATTCTAGAGATGAAAGAAAACCGAAACGAACCGCTTATTTTGTTTTTCCTCAGGTTGCTGCACTGGCTATGCCACAGGCAAATGTCCTGAAGAAAGGATTTTTCTACAGTTTCAAGCGAGAAAAGCCCTTTCTTCAGGAAAACTACAATCACGCGAGGACTTCACACCCTTCCGAATGGGGGCGCCCCTCTACCTGCACTTTTTTGGCGGTTGTTTCTTGTTGCATGTGATAAAAAACTCGTTTATGTGATAAAAAATCATGAGGGCGCGTTTCTAGTGTAGAAATATGTCCTTGGGGTCGGGTGCTGGATGTGCGGGAAATTGAGGGGACAACTCAAACATGTATGAAGAAGGCGAGGATTATTCTTAGAATCTAGTGTTTTTTTACAACTTCATGATGATCTTCAATGACAGCTCTTTAGGTATACAGCGATCATTGAAAGCGAAAACGCTTGCGCCATGCGACCACACCGGCGCCCTCCTGTCCGACCTCCCCGCGCGTTGGGGATCGGAAAGGTGGCAGTCCTGCGAAGAACTCCCGCATCCGCTGGCTTTTCGGTAGGCCTACGTTGTAAAACGGGTCTATTTGCTGCAAGTCGTTGGTCTCGGGGTTGCCTACTACGTTGCGAACAACGCGCCCGTCTGCTTGCACGACACTCTGGTTCACGCTGACGCCGGAAAGCGAGTAGCAGGTGTGATAAAAGTCCGGTCTCTTCCCCGGCTTATCCCGCAAACCGCCACGCTCCTCGTCTTGGCACGCTAAAAAGACATACATTTGCAACGGCTCTGGCTGTGTCCAACTGTGACCTTTGGGCACGTCTGGAAGAACCCGAAGCCCTACTTCTCCTACTCCATCTTCAGATAAACCGCCTTCAGAAGCCTGCGCGAATTCGTAAGCGTGTCTAACCAGGGCAAAAGTCGCTCCTTGCCAGAAGCTATAACACGAGTCCACCAACTTGTTCGTCCGTCCTTGATACCCGCCTTCTAAGGACATTTGCCTGTGGCATAGCCAGTGCAGCAACCTGAGCAAAAACAAAATAAGCGGTTCGTTTCGGTTTTCTTTCATCTCTAGATTTATGAGAAGAAACGATGGTGTCTAGTACACAGGACAATTTTCATATTGTAAGGAGCCAAAGACATCTCGTTGGTGAACACCTGAACACGAACAACACCTCCTGTAAACTAAATCTCTAAGTCTCTTCACCGTACCGTTCAACGTCAAGCGTGTCTACTGCGCAGCCTAAGATCGCAAGGGCCGCAAAACCGCAATATGAATAGCCTCCGTGCGCTTCTAGGCCTGGCTCGCCACTCAACCCACCGTCCCAACTTTGATGCGAAAGTACATACTCGTCCACGCGCTCTGCTAACTCCGGCGTCAAAATCTGAAGCATCGACGCTACTGCTATTGCGCAATACCTGTTGTGGTGAGGATATATTTCCTGGTCAACATTCGTACTGGCATCACATTGATATTTGATGATTTAACCCTATTGTTCGGCGAGGTGTCTATAAGCTTTGCCCGAAGATTTCATCTCGGTCATGATTTGAATCTCTTCGGCAACATGTCTGAGATTTCCCTGACGATTTTCTTCTGATATCTAAACTTTATTCTTATTCTTAAATCTTTTACAACATAACCCAGAAGTAGAAGATTGAAAAACTCCTACGTTCCCCGTATATCGAGTTCGCCGTCCGCGTGCATCGAGAATCCTCCGGTTTTTGGGTCTTTCCTTGCGAGCAGAAAACGGTACATGATTAGAGCTTACCCTAATCCATCTCAAGATGCATCCTGCATGCTATATCATATTTCCCCTTGAAAACCAACCCTCTTGAGGCTGCTTCCGAAGATGGATTAATAGACTTCTCTGAAGGTGGGTTACATTAGGGGAGACTTCTCTGAAGATGGATTACTTTAGGGTTAGCCTTAACATGAGTTCGCGATCCAAGTTTGCTGCGGCAAAGGACTCGCCTATGCACAACGCTGCCACTCCCGCATACGTTGTCGCCATGTGGCTGAGTTGTTTCGGCCCCCCGCCAAAGCCGCCGTGCCTCGGACAAATGCACTGCGTGAGGAAGGTGACCATCCGTTTTCGAAACTCAGGATCCTCGATAAATTAGCGGAGGTAGTTTGCTCTGAGTATTTACTTACAAGTTCGTGCATATATTTTTTGAGCTTATGCTCCTTTTCACTTTGGACGTGAGCACAGTTATTTGTTACGGCGTTACAACTTACAGACAGAACGGATTTGTCCACGTCGGTGGATAGTGTTGTCATCGCGTGGACAAATCCATTAGCCCTTAAATAAAGGCTATCCACCGACGTGGCCAAGTGGATGGATGGACAAATCCATTTTAGGATTTTTTTATGGCTTTTATTAAACCTTAATCCACAGAATGGATTTAACTTCGGTGGATAGTTATATATTAACCTTAAATACCCCGGCGTGTGTACACGCCGGGGGCACGTGGGCGGTAGTTATATATTAACCTTAAATAAAGTTGTCATCGCGCAAGAGCTCCAAAGCGTGACAGATCCAGAACACGAACCAAGGCCGACTAGCGTCGAGACCGGAAAACTGTCGCGGAATGCCGTAAATGGCCTTGTGGAGCCAGTCAATGTGCTTTTCGCGGTGTAACCGGATGGCTTCGTCTTTGTAGTCCTTCATGCCACTGTGCTCGGCTAGAAACTCGCGGAACAAACCTAGTACTGTTTCCTCCGTTTCCCGCTGCTCTCTCATGCTCACTGACGAGGACGAGGGCGTCGGCAAGTCATCCCTAGCGTCGTTGCTAAACTCGCCCATGTTTCCGAAAACACCCGTTTCTACTAGGTAGATGATGGTGGAACTAGTGCTGGTACTTGAAGTTCTGAAGAGTAAGAACTACAACTGACGACATATACTTGTCATTCAGAAACCTTGCTCAAATCTACATAGATTAAGGCCACATAACGACCGTAATCCAATCCTGTTGGCATCACCAAAAGATGGGCGTCAGCGTACCTACCAAAGACTAACTACTGGAAAGTACTATCCACGAGCATTGAAACTTTGAGTGATGACAACGAATTGGATCTTTTCCTGGGCCATGTTGCTTTCACAATTGAGACACCCACGTCTCCTTGCTTCTACGTAACACAAATTTCACAGACGTCACGATGATCACTTAGAAAGTCATTCTAATCCATCCATGTGATCGCTTTTTTTCAGTGTCAGTTCAACAGATAGAGAGAAGAACCGACCCCGCTCTTTCAATTTTTTTCTCTACGTAGCATTTCTACTGAAGATAAAATACTATCTTCCTGTGTCGATTTCAGCCACGCAAGGTGAAAACCGCGATGAGATGCAATATGCGCATAGGTCTGTCTCAAAGTAAAGTTTAAGCAGATGAAAAGCCTCTGTCATTAAAGATTTCTTTCCACAGATTCAGATTTTGACAACGGTCAGCGCGAATGAAGTAATTCCTACATGACAGTCTGTTAGGACTCTCATCCTTCGCGAAGAAGGTTGACCTACATCTAGAGCGCTACAGCCGCGATTTGATTCACCATGGAATAAAAAAATATATTGAGGATGGTGAGTGATACGAGAAAATGGTTTGTTGTTGTTGTTTTTTACCTACATCAGCTGTCCTATAATTCTGTCCTTCACAGCATTGGTGTTGGTGAGAACTTTCTCTACGTAATATTTTCAGAGTCGGCCATAATCTCAATCAAATGCAACTTCTTTATCGTAGCGAATATTGTTTAATCATTACTGACTGTCTGATGAACATCTGCATCGTCTTATTCATGAACAGGAAAGTAAGTAGTTTTTTCTTCGCAGCCGAGAAAATGATGATCTAGCTCTTCTTTACCATCTTCTTACTCTTCATCGCTTTAGTAGGCTTTCCTTTCGATTTCATCGCCCTCTTCTTACCAGAGGTGGGTGTCGGCTCAGCGTCGCTCTCCTCTTCTACAACCGGCATAGGCGGCCCTTTGGATGATACTGGCAGCGAGCTCCTCTTGGCAGGCTTCGGAATGCGGAGGACCAACGCGGTACGAAAAACAAGCTGGCCGTATTCGCGCTTGTCCTTACCCTTAGCTGCACCGGACTCTTCGGTAACTTCTTCAAAGGAGACCTCCTCACTGCTGTCCACTACGTTGCACTCTATAGCTGTGCCCCTGTTAGAGAGTGCCCAATCCATCTCGGTACCCTCATCTCGTCACCCTTACCCTTTCCCTTGTAAACCACGTGTAAACTACGAGCAAAGGGTATCGAGATGCTAGGAGGGACGGGAAAACGGTGGCCATAACGTTGGGCGAGTAACCGATGACGGCAGTCTTGGTCTTCGGACGTCGCACAGTGACAATGCGATCCGGGTCCTTCTGGAAAACGCCAGTTTTTTTTAGAAGACTACGACAAACTACTTGAACAGCACTCTAATGCTTCCTATGCTAGCGCTAGTCTGTCGATTAGCTTTCCGGAGATCTTAGAAGGATAAGATTCGAGGTGGAGGTCCCCTATTCTTGGCGCACTCAACTCTGAAACCAGGAACTGAATCATCAAAAATACGGAAGCTCCTTTCCGTAATTTTAGTACATCTGCTGCGCCATCGTCCCAACTTGCGACCCAACGATCACTGCTGGTAGTGCAAGACGGGTTGCATTCGTCCGCGATGATTAAAGCTATCCAAGAATGCATAACCACCCCGCTGCTGAAGTATTTTCTCAGCAGCATGTCTGCCGGACCCGCATGTCTACTGGACATGCTTGAGGGTTACACAGAGGAGGAGGAGGAGGAGGAGGAGGAGGAGGAGGAGGTATGCACTATCTTGATAAATACTTACTAATCTTGTTTTTAGTCTTAGATTAAAGCTGCGAGCGTGCATTATTTCGCGACATGTGCGGATGCATTTAAACGCGCCTCTCGTCATCGCAATGTTCTCCGGCAGCTTCGGAAAAAAATAAGAGAGGACGCGGTGTTTCGGCTTCTTCCCAAAGTCATCACTTGTCTCTGAGTCGTCGGATAAAGTCAGGCTACCGCTACTCGAGGTCGGGGTGCCAAAGGTAGACGGATCATCGTCGCGAAACGGGTTATCGTTATCGTCCAGCATCATCACCCGCAGCTTCAGTCGAAGACCTGCAAAAAAATGCTCGTTGAAAGCACGTAAACTGAAGGGAAAATATCATGGGGAAACTCTGTTCCTAAAAATGGGCCGAGACTCTCCAACCTAATCTTGTAGGATTGCAGAGATTCTTCGCCGTGTCTGATTCAAAAGGAAAGATATGTGATACGTTGGCGCTATCAGGAGACGACTTATCTGAACAAATCCAGGCTATACATCAAAGAAATTCAATCCGCTGTAACGTTCACCCAGAAGGCTATAATAAGAAGCAAAAGGAAGCAAGAAGTGCGAAAATGCTAAGTGCCTGCTTTCACAGCAGCCTGCGCGACAACAGCATCAACCGAAGTGAGTGCTGCTACTTGAGCTGCGTCGAGAAACTTCTCCGCTTTCTTTGGTGGAATTCTCACCGGATTGAGCATCGGCTGCCATGGAGCAGCCGAAGAGGAGCTTGAGGATGAGGAGAGTTGCTGCTGTGCGCCAAATAGTGCACCACATGGAGCCAGCAGGCACCCGGAGGATGCTACTAAGCTTTCCGGGGAGATGATGCGGAACGTGACGGCCCCGCCAGTGCTCGTTTCCCTCTGAAGTTTCGCTCGTGACACAATTCCGGAGTCTGCATAAGATTTTTGACACGGGAAAATGATGCGACCGCCATCCTTGAGAAACAAAGGATTGGCGAGCTGCTTCTGAAGATGCCAGTAAAGCGACGCGGTTGCTGCTGCTTCGTTCTCCGTCTGCTTGACAGCCAGCCGCGCTGAATTCCACGCATCACGAAGGCTTTTCAGTCCTTCGCTCGTAGCACGAGCGTCAGCCGATCGCGGCGCGGCAGAGTCTAATGGACACCCGAAAAGCGACGCCATGGCTCTATGTTGTAAGCGAGCAAGTAGACCGATGCTAGGCTGTCTGACTTTGGAATCCGAAAAATACAAATAGCTTATGCCCTCTAAGTAGAAGTGAGTTTGTCATTAAAATGAGGTGGACTCAATCAAGACGCAAATAGCATTCGGCGTAGATGTGGGATAAGAGGATAAGAGGACCACTGCGCTGCACCCCCAGCTTCACGTCTTCTGACTCCTTACTTCGACCGATCGGTAATCACTATAGCAAGCCACGACAGGAGATTTGGGTTCGGATTCGGAGACTTCCGAAAAAGTTTCTTTTTTTTTGTATCCTGGGGCTACTGAAAGAGCGGCCTCAGCTTTATCCAGTTCGCAAATCGGCGGCAGGCGGAGCTTAGTGCCCCTCTATCATTCTATTCGCTACGAACCCGCCGATTATAAAATGATTAAGAAACTAGGAGGCTGAGGGAATGACTACACCACAACTCCCAGCGATATGCCGGCCGCCTCACTCATAGCGCAGACACTCAGGTCGGGGCGAACAGGGTGCCACCTGCCACTTCTACCCACATCGACGCGCTCAACCATCGGTGAAAAAGAACTATGCCGGGGAGATTGAAAGAATCTCCTGACCTTTATCCATTTCGCAAACCGGCAGCAGGCGGGGCAAGTTAACCCCTCTACCACACTATTCGCCACGAACCCGCCGACTTCAAAACGATCAAGATACTAGGAGGTTGAGGGACTGGCTACACCACAACTCCCAGCGATATGCCGATCGCCTCACTCATAGCGCAGACACTCAGGTCGGGGCGAACAGGGTGCCACCTGCTACTTCTACCCACATCGACGCGCTCAGCCATCGGTGAAAAAGAGCTAGCTGATAGCCAGCAATATTTTGGCGTAAGACCATATACAGGGGGGGTACCGTCCAGCCCTCAATCATATATGAAAGCATGCTGCTTAGTCACGTCAGTAAGTCGACACTACGCTAGTTTTCTTATCTCTTCAAGCGAAGTCTCCCCTTCGTCACTTGTCACGCATCCTTTCCGCGTCCCACCCAGACGGCCGCAGAGGCATCCACTGCTGCAGAAAGCTCCAGTGCATCCGTCGCACGATCCCGATCGACGTCTGCCTGCACGCAAAAGACCGGAAAATACAAAACCGGGGAAACCCGAATACAGCATTGAAAAGTACAACAAGGGGACCTGCTAAGGGGGCGCAGAAAAAGCGCCGATACACATGTGGCACGTTACGACGCGCAAGCAGCAGACAAGTGGAAGACAGCCTGAAGGACTAGCCACAAGAAAATCCTCAAGAGCTAAATTAAAAAACAACAACGACCCCGCCAAGCTCCTAACCTTCCACTTCGATTATGTCTCAAAGTTTCAAGCTTGAGACTGGAAGCCCAAAGTAACTTGAAAAATTCCCATCCGAAGTCTTTGACTGTATCACAAGACGAGGAACCTCGACAAGTTGCAAACTCGAGCGCTGCAACTTGCACGCAAAGAAGGCCAAACCTACCAAAACAAGAGCACATCGACAAGCCAACGGCTTCGGCCTGTACCTTTTTAATCAATGGCCGCACGCCGTCCCCCGCCCAGCTCTTGTTCCAACGATCAACGCCGCCAAACGGTTGGCGGGCGGGGGAGGAGCCGGGGAACGGGAAGCGGAATCGCGCCGGGATTGAGGAAGTGCGTGCCGGGAATGGATGACCCTAGTGGGAGGAGTGCTGCCGGGCGCTCAAGTCTAGTAAGAAGAGAAGCTATAGCAAGAACTACCTTAGAAGAGAAGCTATAGAAGACACGACAGCGATTTACTGACCGATGCATCCGAGTAGTTCTGTATCTCAACAGTCGCCAGATCCTGACTGCCGTGATGTGGTTATCATCTGTCGCTGCTGCACCGGAGCTCACCGACGTTTCTTGTGATTACAGTAGATCGATGACAGTACTTGAAAATCCTCTGCGCTCACAGATGCATTTACACTTCCATGCGTTCCAGCTTTACGAAGCTATCCATGATGGCCCGTTTTACCGATTTCAGCCACCAGAAATGGGGCAACAGCCCTCGGCTCTTCAAAACCAAGCAAGCAACTACGTGCGGAAGTCTAACGAGCGGCGGTGCTGGATAACGGAGGAACTTCCATAACAGACCCAGGGCAGCCCTCTATGTCGGACTCTACAACCAGGTCTATCTTTTCCTACTTTTAGCAACTGAGTTGACAGCCAGGCTTTGCTTCCCCTACTGAGTTTAGACTGTACAACAGTATCATTTTCCTTCTGTACATGAGACCTTCAAAACAAAGAGCGAGTTTGGTGCCGTTACAAATGTTTCAAATCGTCTAAGTGTACTAAGTACTATCTTGTTTATCATAGTGTTGGTTGCTAGGCAAGCATGGAGGCTTTTCTAATTTTATATCAGCAAGTTGAAAGTAAGTTGTCACAGAAAATGTCCATGATTCGCAAGCAGCCCTCACGTCTGCATCCATGCCCCGCTATTAATTTCGTTATCCTTCGTAGTTGGCCAGCTCTAATCTTTTATCCAAATTCGAATTGGTCCATAATAAAAATTTCGAATAATAGTAGTTTGATGATGTTCCCACTCAAGTTCTTACAAATGCGGCGCTCGAGAATAGTTCATGATAATAAACCACTGAAGATTATTACACTTGCCGTTGTAAACTTTTGTTCATCTTGGTAATGAAATATACTTGTCGTTCTAGTACGTGCTAGCTCGGTCGTAAAGATGATGAACATGAATAATTAGCTACATTATCTACCGTAATAACGTCGAATAAACAAGGATGAGAGCCCGTCTATCTAAGGTAATCAAAATCATACGAAATACCTTGGTTCTTGACGAATCACGATTTGAACATTTTTCGTCTTCTACTAATTCTAATCCTATTTCACATACTTAAATTGCATTGTCATTGATGAAGATCTTGAAGATTCAGTTCTTTGAACTTCCACGGCTTTCGCCTGTTTTCTTATCCTCCTGCCTTTCTTCGGAAACTGGTCGTAGGCGAGTCGACGGCTTTTTTCCAAACCCGAACGTTGCCGGTATTTTCCGAGCTTCAGCATGTCGCCGGAAGTTAGAACATGAGGATGATGATGATGATGATGATGATGGTGATGACGATGATGATGATGTACAGAGCAAGGGGTCAGTAGGACGGGCATCTAGAAGACGAAACAGAGACAGAAAAAAAAATAATCTGTGAAATTATTGCAAGAAGGGATAAGCCTCGGATAGAGGGAAAACTAGCCGGCTATTTTACTTTAGTGCTTTAAGCGTCGCCGGGCCTGGGCCTCATCCTTATACAAAGGAAGAAGCCAGTCAAGATTTGTTGCACACCCCTAAGCCAAAGGGGGAAAAAATTACCAAGTTCCATGAGCCAAATAAATGGCTACGGTGAAAATAATCAGGTGGAGGTCATCGTGATATTCAAAAAAAAAGGTCATCGTGAAAACTTTTTTTGATTTTGGATTATCAGCCGTTGCCTTAAGGAACCTCGTGTCTGGAGAGTCGTCCGCTGCTACGAAATCCGAGTCAGGATTGTAGTAGTTGCTCTTTTTCGAAAAGGTGCGGCGGAGGTGCTGCGGCAACTTCACGACAAGAGGCCTTCGCGGTTCATGCTTCAGATACCCGCCGTAAAAGAACATCCGGCGCTCCACCGTGGAGCTAGAGCTGGAGCTCCTGTCGCGATTAGCGTCTCGATCTGCATCTCGGCTCCCCTCCTCATGGTCCTCGTCAGTATATTTTTAGAGAAGATAAAGGAAATTTGCTTGCTTGTTACGAATGTATAATGGATTGGGTTACTTACAAAGAAAATTATAGTTCCTCAGCATATTAGAGCACGAAGAAAAAGAATTCAAGTTGTCTTGTTGTGCTAACGACAAAAAAAAGGCATTGGAGGCGGTGGATAGCGTGCAATTGCCTCAATCGGAGATGCATACATTCATTCATCCACGCTGCCACCAGTCTATCTAGCAGCAACAGTCTTTCCTGCAAAGGGATACGTAAATCCGCCGACTTTGCCTACAAAGGGCCCTGAACAGGGAAAAGAACGTACCCCGGCGACGATCGGGGCTCGACGACATGCGACACTTAATCAATTATATACACCAATTTGCCATAAGGAACTCTTTTTTCATCTTCTGACAGATCCCTCCCTGCAACTTCTGGATTTGCATCTCCTTTCTGCTCTCGTGTGCGTGCTCGCAATCTGCCGGCGTCTCCATTGTTTAGCGCTAACAAAAACTAAGACTAACGTCGGAAAGAGCGACGTATGATCGTGTCTCTTCAACAACTGGGTCTTGGGGTCTACTACTTCTCAATATGCATTAAATGAAGATCGCAAGGAACGCCTTACCTCCTGCGTACAAATTCAAGAAATGCCTCGAAGATCTGTCAGGACCAAGTAAAAACACTCCCCTTAAGTTGTTCACAAACGAGCTGCCGGAGGACTCCAGAAGACGTGAATCCGGACTCGTCGGAGCTGCTTGTCCTTCCGCTGCAACCTTCTTCCCCTTTGCTCCACCCTTCTTAGACCTTACGGATACTCATCCTGAAAAGCATCTTTGGCCACGACGTGTTATTTAGGGATCGTCAAACAAGGCAGATGCTCTTTGTTAACAAGATGAACAGGAGATAGCATTAGTAGTAATTTAAATTTTCCCATTCGGGGGTAAGTTCAACCGTAGAAGGGGAGGGTGGGGTGTACGGAAGTCAATCCTTAACTTTTGCCTTCGTTTTAGCCTTCTTCTTTGGCTTAGCAGCATCGGTGGTTCCTCCGATATCCTTAGACCAGATGCTCACGAGATTACATCCCTGAGGACCTAACTTATGAGATTGATGATGGATGACTATCGAAATGACCATTGAGAACAGGATGAGGATAACTATGGGAATGAGAGATGGTTAAGCTGTTCAATTCTGCTAATCTTGCCGATTTGATTCGCGCGAATTTTTCTAGATCCGTCTCCCAGTTGTCTGGTTGTTAGGTTAGGTTACATGATGTACTTCACGGAGCCTTAGCTTTTATCCTACGGGACGAAAAGGGAACAATACAAGTGGACGCTATGTTCTGGTAT